TTTTTTGGCGTGTGTTAAATATAAAATTGGACGATTTACTTGCTACAACGATAGAGTACTTAATCTTAATGAACATACTAAACCATTAAAGTCCTACGGAAACTAGTTCAATTATAAAAATTGTTGATTTTTGAAAATTTGCTCTTAGAAAATATTCCGAGTTAACGTGTTTGTTCGTTTTCATACTTTAATCACTCATAAATTAATTTATTTTTTATTGATTAGTCAATTATTTACACACATCAGGAAGTTCATGAAACTTGCCTCAAGGCAAAATACCAATACCAACTAGTTTGAAATGTTTTGTAGAAGCGTAATTTAATTGAAACAATGGACGGCGGTTTCTACGTCAAATGTCAAACACTCATATAAATTATTGTGATGAATATTATATTGATATTTATATGAATAAAATATTTTAAAAATTAGTTTAAAGCTCGCATTATATCAAACGTGTAAATACATCCAGCATTAGAACAAGTCTAGCAATAAAATGATAATAAAATCGGCTTAAAGATCGCGGATATGTACGTTATTTTATAATTTAAATTGTAACACAGTAATCTACGTTATTTAATTGTTTTACCATAGATTCAACTGATTTTTTTATAAGTTTTATAAAAGATTACGTATGGTTATATAAAACGGACCAACTGACCTTTTACCCTGGCAAAGGTGTATAAAATAAGATAATCCTAATTAAAAAAATGTATTAAGTTGAAAAAGGAATTTTAAATAAGATAAATTTAATTATTACTTTTCCAACTCTGCTTAAAAATAATTAGACTTGATCTTTGTAAAATAGTTCTAATGAAATTGGAATTTAGCTGTGGTTTAATAACGTAGCTAAAATTCCTCATAATTGAAATTGAGACTTTGGGTGTGTTTGCCCCCTACGAAGCGAAGGGCAAAGATAAAATTTTTAGAAAAGATATGGCAAATACATATATTTTTATATTTAGGCACTTAATAACTCGAAAAATTTCTGAACATATTTCCATAGTTGGTTGGTTATATGTGTTACGTGCTGTTAAAATGTGATGTATGTTGTTTGGTTTGTACAGCATAATTACTGCAGATCTGCTTATAAGCCTATATTATATATTAAATATTAAGCCGAATGGGATATTTAACTCAAAGATGCATCTAGTCTCAACAATTGCAGCATCTAGAGCAATACATTCTTTCAGCCATTCTTCAAGTGCGAATAGATGTTCTTGTGAGTTTAAAGATGCGATTACTGGATCTTGATGTGTTGCCATGATCATTGTATCATCCTCGAATGTACCCGTAATTGTGTTGTTATGTGTTGGTAAGTCGTGTGTAAATATTGTGTATAAAATTGATCCTATTACACTACCCTGTGGTACTCCCGAATTTATTGGAAGAAAATCTGATACTGCATTTCTTACTCTTGTCCTGAAGTATCTACCAGTCAAGAATGACTTCAGTATTTTTTATAATTGATTTGGTAAGCATTTTTTAATTTTGGCTATCAACCCATCATGCCACACTCTATCGAATGCTTGTTTTACGTCGATGAATACCGCAGAGCAATACTCACTGTCTTCAAAAGCTTTGTGAATGATTGAAGTTATCCTATGAGCCTGTTGTATAGTGGAGTGAGATTGTCTAAAACCAAATTGATGATCTGGTATCGCGGTAAGATTTTCTTGGATTTGTACTAGTAATATTTTTTCCAATAGTTTAGATATAACCGGTTGAAGACTAATTGGTCTGTATGAATTAGCCATATGACTAGGTTTACCTTGTTTTTGTAACATTATTACTTCAGAGTTCTTTAGGTCCTTTGGCCAATATCCCAAACGTCGTACTTCATTGAATATATAAGTCAGCATTATTAGACCTTTTCTTGGCAGTTCTTTCAAAATTTTAGCATCCAATTGATCAATTCCTGGACATTTCTTGTTATTTACGAGTGAAATTTGTCTCTTAATTTCTTTTGGTGTAACCTGTTTAATGTTTTCAGTAGTGCCTTTTATCTCATTAACTTCATCAGATACTCGCGGTTCTTGACTATTTTCATTTGGAGTAAATACGTTTCTTAGATAGTCCGCAAACATATTCGCCTTTTCTTGATCACTCCTAGCCCATGGTCTTTCCGAATCTAATCTTATTGCCGAATTAGTTGTTATAGGTCTTCTAGTTTTTTTAATTGGTGTCCAAATTGTGTTATCATGCTTGTTAAGATTAGTAATATAGTTCATTATGCCAATTTCTTTCCACTGTTTTAATTTATGTTTAAGTTTTCTTGCCAAATTATTGTATATTGTTTTGTCGTGCTGGTTATGACTTCTTTGCCAGACATTTCTTGCCTTTCGTTTATTCTTTATAAGCTGCCTAATTTCCATTGGTACGTTGATTTCCAGTTTATGTTGCGCTAGTTCTGGTGTAACAATCCTAGCAGCTTGTTGAAGAGTACTTATAAACTGTTCAGTTATTTCGTCGAGATCGTTTTCATTTTTAATTCCTACTTTAAGGTTGATTTTTGAATCAATTACATTTCTGAAACACTCCCAATTCGTTTTGTGGTTGTACAGTTTGCGTTGTACCTTCCGTTTTATTACATTAGTACTTAGGGTCAGAATTATGGGCGTGTGATCCAAAGATAAATCCGAAGATAAGTCTTCATTATTTTCTATATCAATATAATTACTTGAAATATTTTTTGTTATAAAAAAATCTAGCAGATCCGGTATCTTCTGTGTGTCTGTTGGCCAGTAGGTGGGACTCCCAGTTGTTATTATGGTATAGTTTTTCTCATATATTAACTCTGCTAGTTGTTTACCTTTTGGAGTCGTAAGTCTTGAGCCCCATATTATATTTTTAGAGTTGACGTCACCACCAACTATAAATTTATTTCCTAATGTTTCAAAATATTCTTCATAATCGTTTTTCTTTAGATTATATCGTGAAGGGCAATAGATGGCTGAAACAATCATATTGTGTTCGAAACTTTTCATGTTAACTGATGTTGCCTGTATATGGTTTTGTTGATATTTCGCTAACTCATAGTGTTCTATTGATGACTATATTAGAATACCAGCCCCAGCGTGTGCTGTGTTGTCAAGATGATTAGTACCATAAAAGTTGTAGAATGGAATCTTTATGTATGAAGACTCTGTGAGATGAGTTTCGCTTATTAATAAGATGTCAATCATTTGTATTTGAAGAAACGTAGTTAATTCATTTATATGATTTAGAATGCCATTTGCATTCCATTCAGCAATCCGCAGTGAGTTAGCCATTATTTCTTAGCCAAAATAGTGAGCATCTGCATGATCATATTATTTTGTTCCATGAGTTGTTTAAACATATCTCTAAAACTGTTCAAGAAATCCTGTAGTACCGTACTTGTTTCGGGCCCGCTGGTTGCGTTTCTTTGTTGATTTCGGATGACTTCCGAGTAGCTCATGTGATTTGTGTTTCTGATGTTAATATTTTGACGACTTGTGTTTGGATCATGAATATCTCTCGTATCATGTGATTTTTTTATTGTATATGTTTTCTTGTAAGCAGTGGAGTACGCGGCCTTGTATTCTTCGCAACATCTGTAATTTGAGGGGTGATCTTTACCACAAAGTGCGCACGTAGCAGGCGTACTTTTTGGTTTTACGCAAATTTTTGAGTTATGATTTTCTCCACATTTGACACAAGCAAATGGTCGATTGCAATAAGTTTTGCAGTGACCATAATTTTGGCATCTTGTGCACTGTATTAATCCTTTTCTCTTTTTGGGCGCTTCAATTACTACAATATGGTTCAATAACTTTGTGATATTGTAAATTTCCTTATTATTATCAGAAGGTTCCAAATCAACAAAAAACATGTTGAGTGGCTTTTTGGTTATATACGATCTCATATTTATTATATTTTTGACCTTGTGATTTTTATTCTCTAGTTCCGTTTTTATTTCGTTGATATCGTATGTATGATGGATATTTTTGAGTACCACGCTGTATGCTCTTTCATTTTTAAGTTGATAAGTATGATAAACAGTACCTTTTGTTTTGAAAAAGTTTATAAGCAGCTTGTATTGCTCGGGCTGTTGAACATTTATTTTCACTGTATCGTCCGATATTGATTTTGTATAATATTGTTCTCTGTTTATTACACTATTAATATCAGATACCATATCAGAAAAATTATTTACGTTATATAGAAATATAGGAGGTGGCCTTGTAGTTTTCTCGGTGTTATCAGTTTGTGTTTTTGTTGTTTCGGACGGATGACCTTTGTTTGTTTTTAATGCATCGAACCTGTTTCGAGTCGGCGTTATGTTTACATTTTCGACATATTTATTAGCCGATGTGCGTCTGCGTTTTCTGCCCGGTTCTATTGTTTGTCAAGAAGTTGACGGAACTATTTCGTTCATAATCGTATCGTCTGATTGATTTTTTTCATTAATTGAACTATTAGTTTTCTGATTGATGATTACTTGTTTACTGCCTTGTTCTATTGTTTGCCAAGAAGTTAACGGAACTATTTTGTCCATAATCGTATCTTCTGATTGATTTTTTCCATTAATTGAACTATTAGTTTTCTGATTGATGATTACTTGTTTAATATATTCATTGTCCATCGTCGACGTATCATGAAGAATGTTGATAGTCTCAACTAACGGAGGGATAGAATAAGTTATATTTTCTTGATTTTGCATATTTGTAATAAAATTATTCACTTATTTACAATTAAATGCCCCCCCCCTAAAAGGGGCATTTGTTGTACGAAACACTGTATCACTACACTAGATATTTGATGATTAACATTCACACTTGTTGTTTACGTTGCCGAATATTATTAATTAAATTAAATAGTTTTATTAATATAAATAATATAACGCAACATCAAAAAAATGGAAAAAATCTATATTACCGTTAGTAAAAACACAAAATGTCTTGAACGACACTTCAATGACAGATAGTGCGTTTATACAACATCGTATACAACAACAACAACAACAGCAATAGCAAATTATTATGTCAAATGCTCACGATCAAAATACGTATTTACAACAACAGCAAATTAACAAGGTAAATAACCACGAACAAAGTGCGTATATACAACAACTACAACAGCAACAACAGCTACAGCAGCAACAACAGCTGCAACAGATGCAACAACAACAGCAGCTACAACAACAAAAACAGCTACAACAACAACAACAGCTACAACAACAACAACAGCAAATTAATAAGCCAATAGTTCATGAAGAAAGAATAAATACTGTCGTTAGCGACATGGAACTTGACAGCCAGACTCCATCGGCTTCGTGGCAATACGTCAAAAGAAATAAAAGAAGGCGTAACTCAACCGAAGGTAATTTAAACAATGAAATAGTAACATCGAACAGATTTAGCTTACTAGCTTCAACATCGAATACACAGAACGAAAACACTACAAAGGTCCAAAGGACACCACCCGTATTTGTATATAACGTAGATAAATTCGCGGATATGATTAGTGACTTAAATGAAATACTCAACACAAACGAATACGTTACTAAATCCTTGCCAAATGATATAGTCAAGATTAATGTAACAGCACCGGAACAGTATAGAAAACTCGTTTCTTTACTCAAATCAAAAAATGCTAACTTTCACACATACCAGCTAAACGAAGAAAGGGCATTAAGGGTTGTGCTGAAAAACATACATCATACGTACGATACGAATGAAATCAAACAAGAAATTGAGAAACAAAATCATAAGGTGAGAAATATTATCAATGCCAAGCAATACAAAACAAAGCGCCCGCTTAATATGTTTTTTATTGACCTTGAGCCGGCTAGCAACAACAGCAAAATATACAATTTAACCAAACTACTCAATCATATAGTAGTGGTAGAGCCTTTAAGAAAAAGAAAGGAAATTATACAGTGTACAAGATGTCAATTATTTGGCCATTCAAAATCTTATTGAAACAGACTCTTCGCATGTGTAAAATGCAGTGGACCTCATATTTCCACTGCGTGTAAAAAATCTAAACATACGCTGGCTATCTGCGTGCATTGTGGTGACAACCATCCTGCAAATTACAGAGGATGTTTAAAATATAAGTCCATGTTCAAAGATAGTAAAAGAAATGTTTCCAACGCCAATCCAGCACCAGCCGCATGACTAATTCGGCTGCACAACACTCACTACGAGCTAATATTTCGGAGCATCGAAGCTATTCTGAAACCCTTAGAGCACAGCAAAACAACGGATGCAATACGCAACAGTCAAATACCTTACAAGAAATACTCAACAGCTTTAAAGACATGTTCAAACAGCTAGTTGAACAAACTACAATGATTTTAAATATGCTAACATTACTAGCCAAAAAATAATGGCGAACTTTTTACGTATCGCTGAGTGGAATGCAAATGGCATTCTCAGCCATCGTAATGAAGTCGAAGCATTTTTACAAATACACATGATTGATGTTTTACTGATAAGTGAAACACACTTAACAGATACAACTACTTTTAAAATACCTTACTATACCTTCTACTATACTAATCATCCCGATAAATCTGCGCATGCTGGAACAGGAATTTTGATAAAGACAACAATAAAACATTATGAATTGCCTAAATTTGAAAAAAAAATTATCTACAGGCTACACTGATAAAAATCCATACTTGCGGATATGACCTGGTTATCTCGGCTGTTTATTGCCCGCCTAAGTACAACATTAAAAAACCAGAATTTAAAGAATTCTTTGACATTTTGGGATCAAAATTCATAGCTGGTGGGGACCTTAACTCCAAAAATACGCTATGGGAATCCAGACTTCTGAATCCCAAAGGCAAACAATTAGCTGAATTAATACAAGAAAAAAAAATTTCTTTTTATCAACAGGCCGACATACTGGCCCACAGATGATCGCAAAGTCCCTGACTTGCTTGACTTCTTCATAACCTATGGCATTTCCTCATTGCATATGGATATTGAAGATTGCATGGATCTGTCCTCGGATCATACGCCTATAATTGCGACAATAAGCACTTATGTAATAAAGAGGAAACAAAAGAGCGCTTTATATAATTATAAAACAGACTGGAACGCATTCAGAAATGAAATGGATAACAAAATTAACTTGAAAATAAGAATTATAAGTGAAGAAGAAATAGACAATGCAAAAAATGTATTTGTACAAGCAACGAAGGAAGCTCTAAGGAATGCAACACCCACACTTTATAAACAAGATGTCGAATTCAATTTACCGCTGGAAATTAAAAAACTAATTAAAGAAAAAAGAAGAGCTAGAAAAATCTGGCAGAGAAGCCGTGCACCAAGCGATAAAACATCATACAACAAATTATGCAGTTCACTATAAAATAGGTTGAAAGAACTTAAAGAAAACAATATTGCAAATTATATTGTCAATATAAACAAATTTGACAACTCTATTTGGAAGCCTATTAAAACACTAAATGTCCTGTAATGCATATGTCTCCTTTGAGAATAGATGTGAACGAAAATGTGACGTGGGCTAGAAATGAGCAAGAAAAAGCGGACGTTTTTGCTAATTACCTCAAAGAAGTGTTTACACCCAATATTAACGATCCGGATCCTGGTGTGACAAAAACCCTCGAGGAAATAAAAAGCAGTAATGAAAACATAAGAGCAATAACTCCTAAAGAAGTAAAAAGATATATTCTCCATCTAAGCAATAAAAAATGTGCAGGTATTGACCAGATACGGGCTAAAGTACCAAAAGAGCTTTCACGGAAGGCAATTGTTATGCTAACTCAAGTATTCAACTCTGTGCTACGTTCTGGATATTGACCCAAGGAGCTGAAAACATCTGAAATCATAATGATCCAGAAGATGGGTAAACCAGGGCATATTGTATCATCATATAGACCTATAAGTCTTTTACCTATGCTTTCTAAATTATTAGAAAAGTTATTACTTGTCCGAATAAGTGATGTGTTGAAGATTTCGCCGACTGCACTCGATTTCGTCGGATTTCGCCGACTGCAGTCGACCATACAACAGTGCCATAGGATTACAATGGTCATTCATCAAGCGATAGAAGATAAACAATATTGCTCAGCAGTGTTTCTCGACGTACAACAGGCTTTTGATAAAGTCTGGCACGACGGATTATTAGCCAAAATCAGATTATGCTCACCAGAAAAAATATATATAATATTGAAATCATATCTATCAAACAGGAGATTTAAGGTTAGAGTGGGAGATGCGGTGTCAGAATTTCATCAGATAAAAGCAGGAGTGCCACAGGGAAGCGTGCTAGGACCAACCCTTTTTACAATATATACACACGACATGCCACTAAATCCAGCCACCACCCTCGGCACATTTGCCGATGACACCATTATCATGGCTACCCACGAAGATCCAGAAATTGCAACACTAAACTTACAGGACCACCTGTTTGAGTTAGAGAAATGGCTAAGGAAATGGAAAATAAAGCTAAACACGGATAAAACGGGACATATCACTTTCACTACAAGAAAGAAAAACTGTCCTACTGTATTTATAAACAACGTGAAAATATTGACTTGCACCAGCGTTAAATACTTAGGTTTACATCTGGACTGCAAACTAACATGGAATATTCACATAAAACAAAAAAGGAAGCAAATTATGAACAAATTTAGACAACTCTACTGGCTAATAGGAAGAAAATCTAAAATGTCATACAACAATAAATTACTAATATATAAGTCAGTAATAATACCGATATGGACATATGGTATTCAACTATGGGGATGTGCAAGTATGTCCAGCATAAAGATTATCCAACGAACTCAAAATAAAATTTTATGAGCAATAGTTAATGCACCATGGTACGTTTCAAATAACACTATTCATTCAGATTTAAACATACTGACCGTAAAAGAAGTAATTCAGCAAAGAAGCAATTCATACCATATGAGATTAGATTAACATCCAAATCCAGCCATGCAATTAATCAAAAATCATGATCCAACTAGAAGGCTCAAAAGAAAAAGGCCAGAAGATCTACTAACTTAATTTAAGTTCTGTTATATTACTAACACAGATTATTTATTAACATAGATTATTCATTAACATAGAAATATTTTATTAACATTGATTTATTATATTAACATAGATAATCTACAGGGGAATCTCTTCAGTGGAGAATACATCTAAATGTCATATTTAATGGATCACATAGACTCATAGAAAATTGTATTTCTTATTGTCTATATTAAATAAAGAAAAAAAAAAATTAAATGCATAATACAGCAACGCGTCATCAGGCACCGATAGTAATTTATAGAAACATACCAAAATGAGCCAATTCAATTTAAATAAAATCAGTTTCAGATCAGACTGCCACTTGCAATACCTATTAAGTCGGCCACAGACGTTACTGTATACATGTGCAACTGAATGAATGCGCAACCAAGCATTTTTTCACAGTGCCCACAGACGACACTAGTTTATGTTCAAGTGTTTGCGCATGCATCAAGCATGTCAACTAAGAAATGTCAAAACATAACCTGAAAATATATATTTTTTTATGAATTTATTTGTTCACAGCATCAGAAGAGAATTCAAGAAGTTCAGAGGGGTAATTCCAACAAATGAACTTGCCGACTTGTCAAGTTGCACAAAAAACATCACACAGACGCTACAGAATACATGTGCAAGTCACACGTTGCGCAATTATACACTATCGTCTGAGACCGGCTTTAATGAGCCAAAGGAGCATTTATATGTTATTTAAAATGAGTTGCCTCTATCACCACACACTTCTACATTTATAGTTAGACTTAGTTATATTCATACTAAAAAGTTTCAATAATTTTTTATGGCTAAACAACATAAATTAATTGATATTAATGATTCAATTTGAATACGGTGTTGAATTTAAAAAAAATATTTTCAATGTCAGTTATCAGATATGTATGTAAAATGTGAAAATTTAAATGTAAATTTTATGGCCAAACAGTTCTAAGTGCTGATTGTGTCAAATACTTAGGTATGCATCTAGATCGCAGACTGACGTAGAAGGACCATATTCGCGCAAAATTAAATACTATAAAAATTCGAACCGCTGAACTATACTGGCTTCTGGAACGCATGAAAGTTTTATCTATTGACAATAAATTTCTAATTTACAAGGTTTTATTACTACCAATATGGACTTATGACATTGAATTGTGGGGCTGTGCGTGCAAATCTAATATAGTGCTAAAACAACGTGCCCAATCGAAAATATTAAAGCAGATTAAAGATGCTCCGTGATTCGTAAGCAGCAAGACCTTACATGACGATCTTCATATTTTTATTTTGTGTGCATATATATATATATATATATATATATATATATATGTATATATATATCTTATATAAAAAATTAGAGCTCTCTTTCAAATGTCCAAATAAAACTCGAAAACGGCTAAATCGATTTGGCCAGTCTTAGTCTTGAAAAATTCGTGCCAATCCAGAGAAAGTCCAAAGGGTGAGAAATTATTTCAAATCCGCGTAGAAACTTTACATTTTTAATTTGAAAATTTTTGTAGAAGCGTAATTTAAATAAAACAATGGACGGTGGCAATTACGTGAAATATCAAACGCTTTTGACAGATGATGTTCAATTACGTTTAATAGGATGTTTTACGCGAATATTATTTAATTATGATAAATTTGTAGTAAGTAGTTTTGTTTGTAGTTTTATTTATATACAAAAACGTTAGTAAACGGGCCGCGAGTGTTACTAGAGACTCAAAATATAAACTTTTTTGATATGTTAATATGAAAATGCACTTTTTGGCATATTTTTCTCAAACACGGTGCTCTGAAAGATCTCATTTGTATAATTATATACTCATTGGTATTCATAAAACATTTTCTAGGTTATATTATTTCTTATTTATGTTATTTAAATTCAGAACCTAAATTTCGTATCGATCAAATGGACATTTTGTCGAATAACATTTTTCCAGTTATAATTTCCCAGAATTTATCGCAGAATAGATAGTAATATATGAAGGTCTGGGATTAAAAAGGTCCACCACCGATGTGTCAAAAATCAGTAAAGTTAAGCATTGTTTAACAACAATATTTGAAAGTAGAGGAAAAAAGATGTATAGTCAGCTACAACCTTGATTTGAAAACGGTAATCTTTGAAATGGGGGAGATAAACGGTAATCTTTGAGAATCCATAATAAAAGTATTTTCTTCCGTTGGTAGTTTTTAAGCATTAGTTAAAAATGTAATTATTTTGTAAAATACCTTCAAAACTATAATAAGGCTTTAAATCTTTTTGCCACTTGCCCGTTTCAAGTTACCCCGCCTATAGGGTAAAAAGGTCTAGATAACAAATTTTTGAAAGACATCAAAAAAGCACATTTCTACAATGATGAAGTAGAAGGCAGTTTACTGAACTCAGATAATTATTCGTTCGAAATGTGTCCTTTGTTGTGATATAATTGTTATGGTTTTCACAATATAGTTTATATTTGCTCAAAGTCAAATTGGAATTTTGTGCCTCGCCCTGCTCTACATATATACTTTATATTAAATATACTTTAATTCACCGAATGTTACTTAAAACTTTTCAAAAAGCATGTCAAAAAAGAAATACTTTTTTGAATTTTAAATATTTATTTTCTATCTCTCTTCGCAAAAATTTAAAAATTTTGTATAAGTTCAGTAGTATTATTTACAATTATACACAAAATCCAGATTCCAAAAAGAATCTGAAAAACTTGAAACGTAATCAATAAGTCGCAAGACCAAAAAAGACTTGGATGCATTATACTATGTTTCCTATAGAATGTGTATAAATCTTCCAGTTTGATTGTACTGATAAAATATAGACAAACTAATGGGGTTTATTGTTTTTATAATACTTTAATTTCAAAATGACAGCATTCAAA